TGCCGACAAAATTGTGAATTAGGTAGGGACCTATTAAGGTTTTTGAATAATTTTGTTTGGAACTTATGGCACCGACTTCTTACCTATCAGTGGGTGGGTAACCTATCAGTAGGTACTAATAATAGTTATTTTTTGCTTTTTAGTTTTGACTTTTTGTTTGTTATTAGTTTTTGGTTATTTTTTTGAAGTCGGTTTTTTTAACGCAGTTTTTATTTTTTTGAACAGTTGTGATGGTGTTAAAGCTAACTGTCAACCCACTGTGATCAGGTGATCATTTATTAACAACATCTTTATGTAAATAATCACAGTTACAAAAAATATTATCTATACCTACATGTTGCCGTGGTGGATGTTACACGGGTGGAGTCAAGGAAAACATTTGATAAATCAAAAGATTTGATGAGACTTAATAAGTTAGTACAAATAGAGTTATTTTCCAAGAGATCAACATTAAAATCGCCACATATTATGGTACATTTACTACTAGAACACGTTTTGTGCAGTACATCTTCCGTTACGGAGCTAAAACTATTAAAATTTTGTAACATAGGAGGTCTATACACAGACTACAATATGCTTATCCAGCTCAACACAGGACAACTCTATTGTGTACTCTATTGACAATAATGTAATATCTTGTCTTTCTTTATATTTCACTGAATTGTTAACTAATATTAAGCTAACACCATGTATCATTGTTTGACGGCTTAAATAGTTTCCAACACAATAGTTTTTAAAATTTATAGATTCTACTTGATAATCCTTCAGCCAATGTTCAGTAATACAAACAATATCATAATTAAATTTTTCTAAAAATAATTCAATTTCTAGAGATTTTGATGAAAAGCCCTGCATATTTTGATTAAACAATGTTAACAACTTTTCTTGTTTATTCTTCTTATGTACTACTTTCATAGATTTAGACTTACATATACTGCCAGAAGATACCTTTACAATGCATGGAACATTTGTAATATTTAATGGTTTATCCTCTGTTGTCTTATTACTTAGTCTGAGGACACGGTGGAACACACTGTGGCGGAATGCCCTGCGTGGGCTGAGTACCGCCGTGCCCTCAGGGAAGTAATCGGCGATGGCGACCTCTCGCGTCCGGGCCTAGTGCAGGCTATGATGCGGAGCGAGGGAGACTGGGATGCCGTCTCCTCCTTTTGCGAAGCAGTCATGCTAGCTAAGGAGGAGGCGGGACGCGTGAGGCAACGAAGCGCTGCCTCCTCGCAACCCAGCCATCGCGAAGGACACACCGGGCGTCGGGGATCGCGGGACGATCTCCGGCCACCGTAAGCGCGGGCCTGCGGACGGCGAGCATGGGTGGCTCCCCGTCCGACCAGAAACAGACCCGAGCGTACGGCGCGTCGCGTTCCGCGCGCGCCTCAAAGAGCCATCAGACCACCACAGATGGGGCCCAATAGGGCCGATGCCGATTCGGAGTCGCGGAGAACCTAACGGGTAACCGGGGCTCCGGCTCGACGTGCAGGAGAAGGAACGGGGTGGTTTTTAGTCAGTAAGAGTCTGACACTCCCTCCCGCCTCACCCAGGCGGG